AAAATCGGAATGTTAACGTTCTTTTTCTGAGAATAACTTGACGTGAAAAGATGTAAATAAACAAATGAAAATGTACTAGTTCGTAAGAGAATTGTAATCATAAGTGAGAAAGTTAATGGTCTATCTTTGCCTCACCGAAACCAAAAGAAACAAGCTATATGCTTAGGGTAATGACTTTGAGTTTCCAAACGTGAATTTTCCATTTCTGGGAAGTAGCAGGACTTTCGTAAAAGTAAACTGGTTTGCTTACCACAAAGGGAGTCGTTAGATGCAGGTTGACCATGGTGTTACTGAGGTTATAATGGCGAGTTTGATGGTCGCCACTATGCCTTATTCAAAGGTATCCTTATCAACTATGACAACGTTATGTAATAATTATTACATTAAGAGTTGTGACTGCTGCAGCAACCCTTATTATGATAACAACGCTTAATGAAATTATTTTATCATTAAACATTGCAATTGCGCTTCATGAAATCATTTTTTTTTTCGTTACATTAAGCGTTGCAACTGATACGTTTAGTGCAATCATTTTTTCCCATAACAGTAAGCGTGACAGTCGCAATGTGTATTGTAATAGCTATTACGTTACGTCAAAACTGTACTAGTGACAAATTGAAGAAAATGGTGAATGTACTTAAGTCCGAAAACATAAGAATTGCCTCCCTTCCGATTATTAAAAATTAAAAGTAATCAATTTTGGTGTAGGTGGATTGCCTCGATGAAGCAGAGGACACACCCTTCTTTTATTGGTGAATTAACTGGTTCTTTGGGTTACAAATTTGCTAAAATGTTGGCATTTTCTTGTTACTTAACTAATTACGTTTGCTAAAATATTCTTTCAGTTTTTGATACTGGTTTCTAGTTTATATGTCTGGCATCTGGTAAGAATCCACCATTATTTATGTATCTCAAGAATTACATAACACCCAGTGTCCTTTCTCGTGTGCCTTTTTATTTATTTTCAATGGAAAATAGTTTTGGAAATGGAATACCAATTACACATATATTTTTTTAAACTTTAGTTGTAAAATGTACTGATAACAAATATTGAAACAATAACAACAAGAAAATGCCACCACGCCACTATACTCATTATTCAAACTCAAATTCATTAAAACTATGGCAAAATATGAAACCTTGGTCAATCCAAGTAAGTATTGTCGCGCTCTCAAATGCGAACCCTGTATACAACAACGAAACCAACAGGTAAACTAACGGACATCGAATACGTTCAGCTTCATAAAACATGATTTCTCAGTTAGATCACTATAACGACCGTAAAGCTTCCCAATGATTTTCATCAATCTGCATCTTTTGAAAGCTTGGTTTCAGGTTCTTCCGTCAGTTGACGACTTCTTAGACAAAAATCATGATAATTGGAACAGGACCTTTTGATATTGAATCAACTGCGGCATGTAGACACCATAGGTTCAACTTGCACCTCCTTTCATTAGAAAACATAAGCAAGTTTGACTTGTTGTTATGGTATATATAGTATACTTTGAGAAAGAAAGCATCAACTTTTCAATAAATTTTGAAAATGAAAAATGAAGTCAGTACAACAAGTTAAATATCACTTTTATTTCTCTGTCAATAACATAGATAATGTGTGACAATATTGTACATTGAACAGTCTGTATAATTATTACTGGTACAATTGCAGTGTGGCATCATTCATATGGCTTTCTAGATATCTTTAATTTGAGAAAAAAACATATTTTAACTCATTTTCATCGAGATATCTTATTTTTGGATAAAGATATGTTTTGAAAACGCAGATCAAGCATATACAATTGATTAATTGTTGTCAAATTAAGATGGAATCTGAAGATTCGGATTAACAAAATATAGCATACATATTAAAATATCAATATGATAACACTGTGATAATACCAACAATACCCTTTAACAATTGACAAGCAGGTACATTAAACATAAAAAGACGTCCATTGTTGTACGATATTAAGTACCTTTGAAATGCATTGTTGCTTGAAGTGACATTAACACCAAAGATGACATTTGATTTACAAATGTTTACGAGTATGATCACGTCAAAAGTCCATATTGTGACGTGTAAAATGATGTCCTTATAAGATACTTACGGTAGCTACAATGTGTCTATTGAGTATTAACACACAAGAAAAGACACTACTAGATCTGATTAAGGACACAGAAGAACAGAAATACAAAACACACAAAGTGAAAGTACACATACATACCACTGTCAATTTCAACATAAAGGCATTTTGTAAAGATACAATGAATGTTGATATCGATGAATATTAAAGGGTACAAATGTCCTCGAATGAAAAATCCTATCAGAATGTGGAATTCTATTATTTTTGTACTATTTACTGATACATGTACGATGGTTTTACTCTCATTTCACTCATACTGTGATTTCGTCATGTACATATGCATTGTTAAAAATTGATCCATTAAAAACTAAGCACAGATGTGTTTTTGCTGATATCATTCCGCAAGTCTCCTACATCAGCATCACTGTCGATGTAAGTTAGGCAGAACAATTAACAAATGTGGGAGAAGAACGTCACACATTGTATGAAGCTATGTTATCTGAAGTTTCTAATTAAATGTGCAAAGATTTTTTTACATGTGATATAAATTAATCCATATATGGCATTAAAAGTTCACCGAGTCATTATTACAATGTCCTTGAACGACTTGTGTTTTTTGTGTTGTTTTATGTTTCTGTTTTTTTTTTTTTTTTTTGCGGGGGAGGGTGGGAGGTTGGGGTTGGGATACATATAAGTTTAATGTTCGTATATTCAGCAATCTGTGATTTTACTAAACAACCATTTAACGATAAAGTGCAAGAAGCTTAGTATATCAGGTGATCCTGTATATATGACTGATTATAAATATATATCAGTAGAGCTACTAACCGTGCCTTGGAATTAAATGTGTAAATATATAACTACATGTGTTATATATCAGATAGCAACAATACCGCAACGAATGTCAGAATATTTGCCTGCTTATAATATAGAGACAGCGAGCATTGGAATGTATATATTTGTGATATTGACATTATCATATCCACTTAGTGAACCTTTATCAGAGGTAAAGATACATATATATAGGAATTTTTAATAGACAACAGTAAGCAATTTCATATTGTTATATGACTGAGAAAAACCTCTCTCCTGTGATTGGCTCTGAGGTCTCCAATAGGTTTTGGCTAAATGCAATGTTATCCCGACACTGCATTAAAGGTTAACATCGCAAATTGATTAAAAATAGTAACATAGAAATTCCATGACGCGATGTACTTTCGACCAGTCAGAAGGCAACATTATCTGTTTACGAACAAGGCAGACGACCAGAGCTTGAGTTGCGCGCAGGGTCAAGAAAGCCGATTAGCCTCGGTTTCAATGGAAGACATTCAGACAGTTGTACTCGTAAAAGATTCCAAAAATACTAACTTTCCACAGAATCTGCTGCACGATGTTTTCGTGAGCACTTGTCGAATGTCATGTCATATAACAAACAGTTATTAATCTCGGGGAATATCGGGAAATCTCATCTTTCTCAGGTTAACAAATCCTCATGATAACCGAAAAAGTCAGTAATTGTATATTCATCTTCAGACGGAGAACATTAATCGAAATACTCAAATGAAATTGTTCAAACTAATTCAAAGTGAGCCAATCTTTCATACTCTATTGGACTTTTGGAAAGTACTACAAATACCTGTATAGAATACCAATGTACTAGCCTCATCATAAATGTGACCATGCAACAGGAACACAGTAAAAATAATATAACATATCCAGAAAAAAGATAGAACAAACTTTTTTTTTCAAAATTTGTATATGTTTAACAAAGCTAGGTCTGAAACTTTTCATGAACATCTTATCATTTCTTGACTTATCATTTCGGACATTCTTTCATCGGAAATATAACTGTAGTTTGTTGTCATATTACACAGGCATGTGTAAAGTATCCTTATGCACAACGATAGGAAAGAAAATATCACAGATTGGATCAATTAATACGCGCTTCGGCGCTTGCATCACATGTTTGGAGCATCACTAAGACTCAGAAAATACAGAAAATATTCAAGCGCATTACTGACAGTACCGTGGTAGCTACGAATTGGTATCGTTAATTTCACAACATATAAAATCTAATCATTAAACCCTGCATGAAAGGACCATATTCATTCGTTAATTGTTTTACATTATCATTCCGTAACATTAAAATCGATTTGATAGGCCAATGCGGAGGCGTAAAAACTATCAAAGAAAAGCGTCCATACTAAATGTCAAAAATATTTAATCTGTGCTTCAATTATCTTTAATAATTATTATCGTTTTATTAATTTCAAATATAACACAAAAATGCAGTTTACCCGTGGCAGATTAAGAGTACTCTACGTTTTCCGTGTTATGGTATTATAACATAACAAATGATTAAAGGTCTTCCTTAATTATTGTAATTGTTGTAATGTGTTTCATGAATATAAACATCGACTATCACGACAACACTCCAGTAAAAGCAAAAACGAACATTCACTCACTGACCCTGCATGCTGTTTATTTGCTTTGTTCATGAGTTTTTACGTTGGAGATATGATACAGTCGTCCTCAGAATGCATCAGACACCTTAATTATGTAAAGATGATAAAATAAGAAAACGGTGGTTTATACGTTATTATCCGTCTGTTCCTCTCAAAATGGCTGTTCCTTCCAGTGCTTCTATATACCTTCAAGTATATTAGTCAACATAACGAGGTACGCGTTATATTTCCATGTGTATATAGCATCTTATCGGAAGTGTTCCAAATATCATTACGTCAAAACTGAATCGAATATGTTCTGCTGATCAACTATCCTGCATTTCTTGACATATACCCTCACAGACGTTCATAGACATTCTTAGACAAGCTTTCAATCGACGAATGTTAGTAGAAGGAAAACTGGATAATATATAGGCATAAAGGAACAAAAGCTTTGGGAATCGTATGATGTGTGCTACAAGCCGCCAGTCATCGAATAGGTTGTTAATGGAATGATGATGAGTATGATGAGTGTCGAAATAAGCGTGATACCAAGAAATGTCCAGAGCAAAGCTTTGTCGACTACTGTGGCAACCTGCTTCCATTCGTCAAGAACTTCGGCCTCGAGGTCTTGCTGATCATTTTTGGCCAGCATACACTGGAGATATTTCAAGACATCCTCCATGATTCCCTTTTTTCCGTCCGTCACGCCATCACTATTTCCATTATGGTCATCGACGTAAGAGTTTCTATTCGACATGTTCAAACTCCCGCGCAAATCTGCAAGGAAACTGCTACCTCGAAGATCGGCTATGACACTACCAGCCTCACTTTGAGAAGACACGTATGAATCGTTAGGTTGACAGCGCCGTCTGTTATTGTCTTTGGTTGCTGCTATATCATTCATGAGTTTAGAGAGTATTTCTGATTCTTCCGGTCCATGAATATCCCCTCCTCTGCTTCTCCTGCCAAGATTGTTTTGAGTTTTAAGGCACTTACACTGCATGAGACCACCTAGGAAGTCCAGAACCAAACTCCTGACCCATTTTGGTACTCGAGGCTGATGAGGAGCGCAGTGATGAATCTTCAAGACAAACACTGTCAGGATGACCGATATGGAGGCTAGCGCCATCGATACAGTCAGATAAATACCTTGATAAAAGATGAAAAAAAAATCAAAATTAAAACAAAATTTATTTAAATATTCATATTTGATTTGATGTGTGTTCCCTATTTCGTCTTACTAACAAAATTATTGTTAAAGCTAGTATACATCTGATTACATTTCTCGCCATATTGGAATCAACTTTTTTGAAATTCTGTCAGTTTTCGGGCTGTCAGTCAGCGCAATAAATGACAAATATTATCTCTGTTATTAGCACCAATAAAAAAAGTCAAAATGTAACTATTAAATGTCTTTGTAAGTGCAGATTACACTACACACCAGTAAACAACAACAAGGATTTTTTTTTCTTAAACACAATTTAAAAGGATATACAAATTGACTATGAGAAAAACGATAAATGCGCTAAGCATTGCAAGGAGAATTGGAATTATTATGATTTGTAATCACGTGACACAGTCTATAAGCATAACTATTCGATATCCGTACATGACATGCGATTAACATAGATATGATATCTACAACAAATGTTAAGAGTGAGAGGAAACAGTATTGAAATTCAACGATTCAGCAGGTAATGGTTTTGGAATTGGAGCCCATGAGTCTCTACCCTTACAACCGAGTTCCTTCGTTATATAACTTTTTCTAATACCTTTTTTCAAATTTTCCGATCTCCCCATTGACATCGATTCATTGTACTGTTTGAATGACACACATATATCAGTTCCTAACAATAATGCCTAGATTTTTGATTGCGTTACAATACTTCGTCGAATCGGCTTCAACAATGTTTGTCCTGACATAAACGGAAACAAGAAATATGCACTTATCAGTCAGTCAAATCTATGTTAACCGCCGTTATGTCAGAACAATATATTCGAGGTACTATATAGTAAACTATTAACAACCTTCTTTAATAGGTAACTATTTGCTCCTTTTGTTCAGAACCATATAAGAGTAAATATCCTTCTGTTTCTTGCTGGCCCATAAAGGATTTAACGTCTAACCGATGTGTGATAATATTTCGTTGGATAGAAAACAATGAACAAGAGGCAGGCTAGTGATGCTACGAAATAATTAATCAAGATTTAACCATTTTCATTACTGAATCTTGCCCCGAGAGTAGGGTTTGACATTTATTTCGACCAGTTAGGTTTTTTCCTAGTCGCCTCCTAACTTTCTACTTTTTAGGCAGCACTAACGTGTTCGGACCTGCTAAATCTAATTCCTAATTCATATTGCTAGGTGCTATTCTCATGTGTGTATTTTGTGCAGTCTGCTCTATATCATTGGGGGCTAACAATTACAGAGGCGTTATTCTGAGCTGTAATGTAGGACCACAAGACAAGAGTAATTCAGTATTGTTGTAATTATGACGATGACTAATTGAGTGTGCTTAACCCTTTGCTGAAACAATCAATGACATAGAATTGCAACGATTGTACCAGACGGTTGGACATACAGACGTATTCATTTCTCATAAAGTCATATTATGAGACAAATATTAATGAAAAACAATGCTTGTCTCCGTGGTGTTATTAAATACAACAATAAGACCGGCAGAATATCTTTGTATCGTGTAGGCCACGACACAAAAGGGGATATCAAATAGCCGGTCTACATTGCTCGTCGTACACTGCTGTAATGTAAAGTATCAACGAAATGGACGATTATTGAAAGGTCGGTATTCATTGCTTGTCCCTCTGATGTAAACTACATGTACATGTATGTACTAAATGTTTTAATGGGGGAATATTGAATGGACTGAATCCATGTCTCGTCCCTCGAATGTAAATTATATACTAAACGTCTTAATTTGAAAAATATTGAATGCACGGTATTCATAGCTTGTCCCTCTGACGTAAACTATATACTAAATGTGTTAAATGGAATTATTATGATATTAAATATTCGGTGTTTATAGCTTGTCCCTCTGACTTAAACACTAAACGCAATGACTTAAATGGGAGAACATTAAATAGTACGGTATTCAAAGATCGTCCCTCTGACGTTGACTACGAATGAGAGGATATTATTTGCTTAATCTTAGATGTCACTCGCCCCTCTGATGTATACACTACGTTAGGTAGAGAGATAATGGAAAATATATAGTTCTCACATTAACAGTGAAGATTAGTCAAATCATATGATGACTGGGTCATTGGAGGGTCAAGTTAAGTTTACCTTTAAAATCAAGTTTACATTTGAAAAATAGATATAAATGTTGCATCAAGGAACATTTCCAGTTAAAAGTGACATTAAAAAGATAATATTCTTCAGAATAGTCATATGAATGCAACAGCAGCAAAGAACTTTTGTCTTCTTAGTACAAACGGTTTACTCTTGTTTTATGTTGACATCTTTACAAAGCATTTGAAAAATAAAAGATTGCAGCTGTTTTCTCACGTTTATTAGTACTCGTCTGTACGTCTAAGTCCGAGTAGAGCTCATCACAAAGTCGTCTCCTTCAGCAGCAGGCAAAACGCTTCAGAGATGCAGCATGGCGTCGAATCATTTGCATATTAAGTTCAATTATATAATTTTCACTATCGACTTCGACCTGAAATGATGTAAACATTGAATCGCATGGCTGCATTTCTTCAGCGATGTTAACGGGAAATGGTATTCCGAAGTTAATGGTGTTTTTAAAGATCGTCTGATGGTTGAGAAGTAACCAATTTCCTGTCGTCCAGTACGGAATCAAAACTGTGATGAATGCAAAGGTGAGCTTAAGTAGCGTTACAGCCCGCTTAGTAAGGACGATTGTGATGCTGCTTGCAAGCCTTATCTCATAATGGTGTGGCCCCGTCGGAAACCTTAGGCGTCATACATCTTTGCGCGTTTATGACAATGCCTAGCTCAGACTCAGGAGTTATTCGGATGAAGATTATAATTACATAATAGATGGATTGTTACAGTACCCATGTGAGATATAAAACAATAGTCATTCCATTCACTTGCATAATGGAATGGCTTTTAACTAAATTGTTTGCCTTAAAAATAAACAAAAACACAGTTTACCTTGATACTGTCCATAGTTCTGTTAGTACATTGCAGTACTGAAACCCATTGGTTGGCTATTATCACAGCTTTGAACTTCAAAATAGCAATGTTTCATCACATGGTACGTTTATGCTCGTTCGTTTAACTAGCAATATGATACATTCGTAATGTAATTATGCTGGTTATTGGTTAGTATATCTCAACTGCCTAGAGAGTATTACATTTATCTAATAACTCAATCCTTCATTCGCTTAATAGTATCAAATAAGATAACAAATTTCAAATTGGCAGTAGATCTCCACTTATCTATCATTTATATACAAAAATCTAGAACGATTTTAAATGTAAAATCAATACAGGACGGGATATTGCGTGTTTCTTTTTTGGAAGACGTAAAGCTGTAAACTACTTCAAACATTTCATTCTAATATACTTGATCGCCAACCATGACGTAATATATCTTACGTACATACAGTTGTACATGCATATATGAATATTTGATATCGGTTTCTTCTCGATGATTTCTGTAGATTTAATGTTATTTTTTCTCTGCAATTTCAATATTTTTAGGTTTCTTCTAGAAAATTATCCTTACCCTCAGGAACATTTTGTGCTTATACTTTGTTTCAACGTTTTTTTTTTTTTTTTCTATATATAAATATATATATATATATAATTACTCCGTTCCTTACAGGTTCTGTTAGAATATATATATATATAATATTTTTAGCTTCCGTCCCTCATAGGTTATGTTGGTAAATATTGTATATATATATATATATAAGATTATATATTTCGCTTCCGTTCCTCGTGAGTTTTTTTTTTATTTATTTCTAATTCATCATCTTTTTTCATAGTTGACAAAGAAACATAAATTTGTGTCCTTTTTACAGGTGTATATATAGTGTTAAAGAGGAATCACAAATTTGACTATGAATAGTAATTCGGTACCAGAGAAGTAAGTAACATGTTACCCGCACCAGTGATATACTTAACAAAAGGTGGTAAGAGTGGTTTCTACGTTACCTAAATGTCATTAATGAACACGTTCCTGATATTAAACCATCTGTTTCGACGATGTGCAATCTATCCATCAGTACTCTAAACATATATAAGGTAGTGTGTACATAAATAGTATTTATTTTAAACTTATAGCGAGTATGTAAGATGAAAATATATCAGATCACGGTATTAAGTTTATTTCCTACGTCGGCAGGAATTAATCTGCATAACGTTAAACATTATCTGAAAGGCCTCTTATCGGTCTATATGTCGTTTGAACCATGAAACTTTTCACGAGACATTATACTGTCGTCTTGAAAACATTCATTTGGTTTTGAACTATACAGAATCATATTTTGTCAAAAAGTTACGTCCAAAAATTGAAATTTAGGGAGGAAAAAACCATAATAGTAATCGAGTTTCTAGTTGACGTCGCTTTTGGTGGTAAGATCTTCCAACAAACTACTAGCATACCATCGGGAAATAACTTCGCCCAACTGTTGGCTGACTTGTTTTTGTTTTCGCACGAGGCTTAGTTTATTGAAGAGCTTATCAAAACAGGTCTAAAAGAATTTCGTCGTTTAATTTCACTTTCAGATATATTGATGACGTCTTGCATTTAAATAACAAGAAATTTATTGACCACGTCCATCGTATATCCCTAACAGAATTTGAAATCAACAACACGACAGACATCAGCTATTTATCTCGATATTTTTCTACAACGAAACAAATAGGGAAAGCTTTCCACCAAGCTGTATGATACAGGTGCCGATTTCAATTTCCCTTTCGTGAATTTTCCATTTCTGAATAGCAATAGGCCTGCTTCCCATACCTATGGTACTTACACGTCACAGTTGATTCGATATTCAAGAGCCTGTTTCCATCATCTCAATTTTCGTGAAAGAAGTCGTCAACTGACAGACAAACTCGTAACACAGGGTTTCAAAAGATGCAACTCGATGAATTTTTTGGGGAAGTTTTATAGTCGCTATAGTGATCTTATTGAGAATTTCTTTATATG